GCACTTGCCAGATCTGCATCGCCACGTCGGCCAAGGTGAGCCGCTCCATGACCCGCCAGAACTACGAGAACGTGATCCGCTCCCTGCAGCAGAAGTCCAACGCCCGGGTGGTAATCCTGTTCACCCGCAGCGAAGACGCGCGCGAGCTGCTGGTGGCGGCTGCTCGCATGAATGTCACCTTCACCTGGGTGGCCAGCGACGGGTGGGGGGCGCAGGAGAGCGTGGTGAGGGGCAGCGAGAGCGCAGCAGAGGGCGCCTTCACCATCGAACTGGCCTCCTACAAGATCAGGGAGTTTGAAGACTACTTCACCAAACTGAACCCCTACACCAACACCAGGAACCCGTGGTTCAAAGAGTTCTGGGAGCTCCGGTTCCGCTGCAGCCTGGAGGAGCACGGCTGCAGCGACCGCAGCCTCAGGGACGGAAGCTTCGAGCAAGAGTCCAAGATCATGTTCGTGGTGAACGCCGTGTACGCCATGGCCTACGCTCTGCACAACATGAGGCAGGCGGTGTGTTCCAACACGTCCAAGGTGTGTGACGCCATGAAACCAGGCAACGGCAAACGCTTCTACAAGGAGTTCATCCTGAAGACCAAGTTTGAAGGTAAGAACGGCAGAGAAGAAACTGATTTTTGAAATGATCTCTGCGGGAACGAATCACTGATTAATGTTTGACTGAGGAACTGATGTTTGTGGTTGGATTTAGATCAGAAATGTTTATAAACAATCAGTGATGGGAAATGGTTTTAATTATTCAATCACAACAGCATACTGTATGCATTAGCATCGATGTGTCAGTAGGGGGCGGGGGGATGAAGAGAGGGAGGGCTCCGAGCAATTTACAGTAGTGACTCATTAAGATGAAGTGAAGCAGAGAAATGTGTTACAGCCAGTTTTATTTATTTTATTTATCTCATTACTTGGAAGAAATATATTAATCTTAAAATATTCTAATAATATCCTTCAGAAAGAAACAAATAGTGACGCAAAGAGTACTGAGTCACTGTACTGTTGGGTCACATGTATGAGTACCAGTAACCAGACCATGACCTGGTCCGTTGGTTAACCCTCGATGTCCCGTCTCCCCCTCAGCTCCGTTCCGACCTCAGGACACCGACAGCATCGTTCGCTTCAACTCGGTCGGCGACAGCATCAGTCGCTACAACATCTTTCACTACCACAAGGAGGACGGCAAGTTCATCTACAGGAAGGTGGGCTACTGGGACCAGAACTTTACCCTCAACACCAGCCTGGTGGCCTGGAGTGGCTCAGGGCCGCCAACCTCCCAGTGCAGCGACCCCTGCAGGAAGAACGAGGTGAAGAGCATGCAGCCCGGAGACGTGTGCTGCTGGATCTGCATCCCCTGTCAGCCGTACCAGTACCTGCAGGACGAGTTCACCTGCGCCGACTGCCGCTCCGGTCAGTGGCCTCTGGCCAACCTGACGGGCTGCTACGACCTGCCGGAGGAGTACATCAGGTGGGAGGACGCCTGGGCCATCGGCCCCGTCACCATCTCCTGCCTGGGTATAATGTGCACCCTGTCGGTGGTGGGTCTGTTCTTCAAGAACAACGAGACCCCGGTGGTGAAGGCGTGTGGACGAGAACTCTCCTACATCCTCCTGCTGGGGGTGCTGATGTGCTACAGCATGACCTTCGTCTACATCGCCAAACCTTCCACCGCCGTCTGCACCCTACGCCGCCTGGGCCTGGGCACGTCCTTCTCGGTGTGTTACTCCGCCCTGCTGACCAAGACCAACCGCATCGCTCGCATCTTCAGCGGCGTGAAGGACGGCGCCCAGAGACCACGATTCATTAGCCCTGCGTCCCAGGTCGCAATCTGCGGCGCCCTCATCTCCTGCCAGCTTCTGGTGGCCATCATCTGGCTGCTGGTGGAGGTGCCAGGCGTCCGGAAGGAGGTGAGCGTGGAGAGGAGAAACGTGGTGACCCTTAAGTGCAACAGCAGGGACTCCAGTATGCTGATGTCACTCACCTACAACTGCGTCCTCATCATCCTCTGCACCGTCTACGCCTTCAAGACGCGCAAGTGTCCGGAAAACTTCAACGAGGCCAAGTTCATCGGCTTCACCATGTACACCACCTGCATCATCTGGCTGGCCTTCCAGCCCATCTTCTACGTCACAGCCAGCGACTACAGGGTGAGTGTCCGCCCCCAACACTGCGTCGTTCAAAACCTGCTGTTGTTAACGATGTTTATAAACCACGATTAGGGATGTTCGCTAATATCGGCCGATATTATCAGCGCAATATTAGCATAACTCTGTAATATCTGTTAGATTATTAGTGGTTTTTCCTACGATAATGAAAATCCAGTAAATCAATGCCTTGGGTTTCCTGGGTCCTGAGACGTTAACCTCACTTTTGGCGGCAAACGGTATCGGTTGATTTCAGAATCGAGTGTGTGTTTGGACAATATCGTCATATCAGGTATCGACAAAAGGTTAATATCGGATATCCCTAACGACGATCTCCTGCGTTAAAGAAAGGAAAAGAAAAAGCGGTCACTTTCACATTCTATTTGATCCCAGACTCAGGGAGCGGCGAAGGAGCGAGCTTCTCTTTCATGTGACGTGACGTGTCTTTGGAGAAGAGAACAAAGATTCAGGAGAACGACGGTTCATCCGTGTGGAGTAATAATTAATGAGCGTCAGAGTAATTCACCAGATCACTAAAAATACCACATCCGTAAAATATTAACCACCGGCTCTGCATCACGGCTGTACGTGAAAAATAATCGTAAAGACGTGGAGCAGCTCGGCTTCTCGACAGTCGGAGGAAACATGACGTTTCCTGCAGACCTGTCACTCTGGGATACGACTGTAGGGTCGTTGGTTTTTTTTTACTCACAACCCACCAGGCTAAATATAAACCATGGATGAAATAATAGTTGAATTTGCAAAAAAAACCTGTGGTCGTGTTTGTTTGTGATGCGACAGAATATTCAGTAAATTCCGTTCTTTTTTTTTCTGACTGGAAGAAGCCGAACTGGAATAATGAATTCCGATCTTTCTTCCTGCGTTTCACGGCAGGATAAATAAAGTGAATATTAAATATGAAGCTGACGAGTCACGTGACTTATGAATGCTGGTCCTTTAGGCTAGCTCGAGGCTGCTGCCACTGCAATTGGCCAGGCTGAGTGGTCATGTGACACTTCAGGCTCATCACGTCAGTAGTGATCAGCTTTACTGACATGAGCTACAGACTTTATTCATGTGACCACAGTAACAGGCTAACGGTCGCTAACACTGTTAGCACCAAACACTTTTATTTTAGAAAACAAATGTATATTTTTGAAAGACAAAACACAAAATTCCGTTTATATTTTTCAAATCAAATATACAAAACTGGCAGCAGAGAGGTTTAAAATAGTGATTTTTTTTTTTACAAATAAAAAAAATTACATTTTAAAAACAAATTTACCTTTTAAAAATCACAGTTATTTTCTGGGAAAACTAACCTACATTTTTGAAAATAATCGAGCCGTTTAGAAAGAAAAAAGCTAATTTTTCAAAACAACATATGTAAGTTAGTTTAGTGGTAAATGTTTAAATTTAAATTTAAACAAAAAAATTGTTAAAGTGGTTTTGATAAATTGTGTTGAAAAATGTTGTTTTTTTAAATTATTTTACTTCTGGAAAAAAAACCCTTTTTTTAAATTATTTTACTTCGGGGAAAAAAAAACCCCAAATGTTTATACAATTGTTCTTGTTCATTGTTTGCAGTTCAAAATAAATGCTAAAATACTTAAAATAGTTTCAGATAAGGAGAATTTAATTTTTAAAAACCTTAATTTGTTTTTGAGAATATTAATTTTGGTAAATGTGTTGAGCCACTTTTTGAATTTCTTTTTTTTTCTTTAAAGAAAAACACTGTGTGGGAGAGGTCGTCAGTTTAAACGACACTTTAAATAAATGTTCCCGCTCAGGAAACTTTAATTATCTTGTTAATTACAAAAAGTACTTTTTAATGAGAATCCTGATAAATCTAATAATTTAGCCTAATTTAACATTCTTGGTCTAAACATTTCACTCCTCATCTCTGAGTTTTTAAACTGAACAAACGCAGTCGTCTTCACAGCAAGTCATTAACTCAGAATTCCTCCAAGAAGAAAATATTTATGACTGGAAGATAAAAACCAAAGCCCGGTGCAGACGCTGATATCAGGGCTCAGCGCTGCCGGCGTTTTTCACTGGTTATTTTTACAGCCAGTTCTTCTCATGGTCGTGAACGCTGCGGCGGGAATTCACTTCATGCTGCGATTCTTCAAATAGGAGTTTCTGGACTGCGGGGGGAAACCGGTGGGGCGGGGGCAGAGAGCTGACCCCAGCAGTCGGTTCATATTAGCAGCTGAAACATGACTAACCAGAGCCTGACGTTCCAGGATCACCAGCTGTGCTGATCTCACTGTTTTCTTCTCCGCTCGAATTCAGCCAGATTTATTACAATTAGATTCACTAAGGCTAACGCTAACGTACATAATTAAACAAATTAAACATCGCGTGCCCAAGTGGAGAGAAAAAAAAAGAAAGGAAATGTGGACAGTTATGAAATGAATAAATGCATGAAATATAGAAAAGAGCGTTTGTTTGAGGAGAATTTACAGCCGACATTTCCATATTTATAATTCAACTGTGTGAATGTTGTTGCTGCTGGTGATGAGAAGAGAAGAGGAAGAGAAGAGGAAGAGAAGAGGAAGAGAGAGATGGAGCTGTGTGTGTTGTGCTGTGTTCATTTCCAGAGGACGGATCTTAAAGAAACCGTTTCATCTGCAGTAAAAAAAACAACAACACAGTTTTACCTGAGAGTCGACGCAGAGACGGTCGTCAGAGTTGGATTGGCTCGCAGCCCGGAAAACACAGAATAAAAGATCATCTAACTGTTACTTCAGAAACAGGACAAATATTTCACTCTGTTCCCAAACTGTTTCTGCAGCGCCCCCTCCTGTACAGTAAATGTGACTCTTCAGTGAACTTTATTTGTAACACTGTGAGTTTTACAAATTCATTTTCTTATTTAAGAAAAAATATAAATATAAAATGACAGTTGCTGCACCCGACTCGCAATAGCTCCGCGCCCCCCACTTTGAGACTCACTGGTCTATTCATTATTCAAAGGGAAACTGATGCAGAAATTGTTAATTACTGTTTAACCACCGGGGAGAAAACTTCACATCCTCCATCTCTTACAGTCACTCTGTTACCACCAGAACAAGAGCAAAGTGTAAGGCACAACCACTAACCGCTGCTTCCACCGTGTGGCCACACTTTTTCTAAATACCCATCAGCAAAAGAAAGGAAAATAGAATAATAAAATAAAATAAAAAATGCAATCCAGACTGACATATTCATCACCTCCCCTCCCTCGTCTCCCCCCCCCCCAGGTGCAGACCACCGCCATGTGTATTTCTGTCAGCCTCAGTGGCTCCGTGGTTCTCGGCTGCCTCTTCGCTCCCAAGATCCACATCATCCTGTTCCAGCCCCAGAAGAACGTGGCCTCACTGAGAGTCACGGCCAACCGCTTCAGTGCAACGGTGTCCACCTCCGTCTCCGCCCCCAGCTCCGCCCACTCTAAAGGTATTCACACCACACACATCCACAAAGGTCACGTGAATTAAAAGTTATGGCCAAAAAAATTCCAGTTTTCATTTGCACTGCTGAGGTTCTCTTCAATTATTCATCATTTCAACTAAAAATACCTGGAGCAGCAGCTCAGGTTTTAATAACGGCTGATTGGTCGTATCGCTGCTTCAACAAGAGACTCACAACCACGTGCAATAGTTTGTACTTCGTAAAAACAAACAAAAGTGGGTGCAGTACATGTATTACAGTATTGCCCCATGTTGCAGCCAAAGTTGGGTTTTTTTTCATATTTAATTAAAAATGTGCTTTCCCTGCTGATTTCTGGGTTTTTGCATCACAGAAGTTCAGCATCGTCCAGTCGCTGTGTTTCTCCTCATGTTGTTTTATCTTCATCCTCCTAAGAAAAAAAACTATGAAATAATTCACAGCACAGGGTTTATAAATAAATGAATTTCCATTTTGATGAATTAAAACACACACACACACAGTAGCTCCTCTGAAGCGGCCTGTCACTCACACATGTCTGCTGTTTGGCAGCCATCAAAACAGAAAGGTTTGAAAACACTGCTGCTGCTGCTGCTGCTGCTGCTGCTGCTATTACTGCTGCTGCTGCTGCTGCTGCTGCTGCTGCTGTTGTGTGAAAACTCTGGGCTGTGTTTTATTATGAATGAGCAAAAACACACACCTTTAGAAACACTGACACAGCTGTGTACGTTCACTTTCTGTCTGTTTTTTTGTTTTGACAATGCCTTTGCTTTTTTGATCACATGACCCGTTTCCCCAGAAGACGCCAAACTGCTTACACCGTCAGATTAAGATGCAGGAGAGATAACCAGCGGCTGTCTGTGCAAACTCCGAGTTTGGAGGAGAGTACAATTGAGTACAGCCCGAAGAATAATATAATATAATATAATATAATATAATATAATATAATATAATATAATATAATATAATATAATATAATATAATATAATATAATAT